TTGCAAGCTTTTGCTGACAGGTTGCAAAATGTAGTTTCTATTGAAATACACCCAGCAGCCATCCCATTGCACACCAGAGGACCACCGAAATTAAGAACAAATGATTCTGAAACTGAACACATTTTAATTTCTTGGTACCATTTCCTAATAAGAAACCTCCTCACTCTCTCTATCAAATACAGAAAACAACAGACTTCATTGTTTTCGTCCATAGCTTGCATGAGCACATGTGCACAATTCTATATTGTTGTATTATGACATAAAATTACTGGACTTAATTTGTCAACAATTATTGTGACGAGTACCTCTTTTGTAACATGTCTTTGATCGTAGATTAATATTCTTCAATTGAACACACTGTTGTCAGTAAGTTATAATATAAATATTCAACATGAATGTCTAACAGTTTGCCTCAGTTTTAAAGTCACCGCTCTTGGCACTCTCACTCACTCTTACACACACACACACAACCTGTACGACTGTGGCCCCAGATGTGGAAGCAGCTGTATCAGGTCCTTGCAGTGAGAAGCTGCTGACTGGAAACATGAAGGCAGGATGGGGCTAAACCTGCAGAATTTAGCTTTGGCCCAGACAGACTGGACCTGGAACAGACCTGGCTCAGTGTCTGCTGATGCAGAGACAACTGGGATCTGATTGGTAGGATCATGATGGGAGATGAAAGATTGAGGGTGCCCTTTGAATAAAACGCTTGCTCCGTTTCCCCCAGACAAGCATGGTATGAGGAAGCTCATACTGCCCTGAATTAGGTTCGATAAAAAGTGAACTGAAGTTGCATGACGGTGAGTCATTAACATTGGCAACTTTTCAGAGCTGATCCAAAGCACAACCCTTAATTATATTTTGTTTTAGTTATGGGAAATGTTCTTTTTGCTTTTATGTTAGTAGCAGAAATGTTTGGTCTCTAAAATGAACTCTATCTCATTTTGCATGCGGTTCATTTCAAACAACAATGTTGACATGTAAGAGTCAAACCAGACTCGTTAACACCTGGTCTGTGTGATCGGGTGCTTGCAAAGAAATGAAATATTCATCATATCCAAAAGACCATACATGTATGCACCTTTTGGATACTTTTTCTTTGTTTTTAAAGCACACAAAAACCTGGGAAAACAGAGTGAGAGAACAGACCTGCTAATGGACAGAGAACCTGAATGGGGCTGCTCTTCCTCAAGAAAATATCTTGAAAGGGGTTGTCAGTGTTAGTTATAAAAGTTCTTAGATCAGCTACATGTTTTATCCATAGAGAACATGTTTTAACTAGAGCCATGGCAGGTTTAAACCTATGGTGTAAGTATGTTTTTGAGTAAATTCAGTATCTGACCTAAGTAATAATTACCAAAGAGATATCGATCAATGCGGTCTTAAGGATTTTCCTGACATTCCGAAAAGGATCTTATCAAGCCAATCCATGGAAATGGTTTTGTTTGGGAAACTTTGGTTCATATAAACCTGCACCTTGTAACAACAACTGCTGAGCGTCACTCCCTCTGACAAAATCTAATTGTGTTGTGATTTAGGCGGACTGGGCCGAGTCTGGCCACTTCTGCGTGACAGTGCCTCCTTAGCGGAGGTAACTGTTAGCCAGGCCTGCCTCCCACTGTTTACACTCGGTGATCCATTTTGAGACATGCAAGGCCCCCTCACTCTGTTAGCGTACACTGAGGATTTCATGATGTTTACTCTGTATATACAGGAGTCAGCTTAAATAAGACTTCCATGAATGCTGGATCCCACAGAAAACTGATGGACTAGATTAAACTGCGGCCCACAACGAAGAACTCTCTTGGCATTTTGGACCATTTTGACCCGAGCAAGGTTAATAAAACATAAATATTTATGTTAACTATGGGGTTCTTTGCTCTGCTCAGGAGCCAAGCATACAGTCTGTGCTGAATATTGTGATACAACACAGATTTGTTATAGCCATCAAAACATTCTCTGAGAAACAGCCTGTTGTTTGGTGAGTGTATATTTGTGTATATGCAGCATATGTAATGTATGTCTCCTACAAGTTCCTCAATTGATGGAAAACCTGTTTATTTTATGTTTATATAGGAACAAATGTGGGAGGTTAGTAAATATTGAGTTTAAAGTTTGTTTTGCATGTCTTAAATCTCTTAGTAATAACTGTCTTTTAGCAATAGTAACCAGATAGATTACATGTACATTTGTGAGATCATTTTTGGGACTTTTTTTAATTTAAAATGTCCAGGTCCATGTATGCAATAGGAAAGCTGTAAACAATTAAATGCATATTATAACTTCAAATTATTTATCAGAATTCTCTATATTCTCTATGTTTTCTATTATTATCTTTTTCTATTAAATAACATTTTCTAGATTCAAAGATTTAAGATTCAAAGGCTTTATTATCATATGCACAGTAGCTACAGTGTAGAAATGGCAATGAAAAGTCCCAAGCTCCACCAACATTGCAACATAGCTATAGGACATACAAAAATAAAGAAAATATATATTAATATAGCGCAAGAAGAACACGTAGAATAGTTTAGAATAAAATAGTGCAGATTACAGTATGTTGCAAGACCAATGAGCAAGTGATGCAGATGAATTAAACTATATTCATGTCAAAATAAATAAATTCAATAAGCTATATGGGCCATTCTACCGAATTGGACCAAAGTCAGGTTGGACATTTTTTGAAATGTTTTATGTTTTTTTCCCAAAACTTTGTCCATATATATTTTGTACCATATCTAAATTACACATATCTAGTAAAAGAACCGTACATTTTTATATCGTATTTTCAGACTGTATTGGAATGTTTTTCCTCTACCAAAAATGGTCACTACCGAAACATAGTACATACACTGTAGTAAAAAAAGTATCATATTAACCTGTTAAGATTGTTTTACCTTCTCTAAATAGTATTTTAACAAATATTTCTTGAGGGTTTTTACAATTAAGTTAATATAAATGCATTTTTAATCAAATTTCTAAGTTCAATTTATACAATTCATAAAAATCATAATCCAAACTTTCTTTGTAACATGCATAATACTGATCATATTGATTCCAGAGTTGATGATTGTCGAAATTGAACATACATTAAACCAATCAGTATCATTTTAGTTGATAACTCAATATACTTAACCTTTTACAAAACATCACTGTTTCAGTAGTGACTGCAGTATTTTGTTCTCATCTTACTGTATATGCTGAATTGGCCTAACAGGGAACCACTGGCCTAACAGCAAATGTCTATATCCTGTGTTGGCCTAACTTGCTCATCTGTGTGCAACTTTGGGCTGAATGCCATGCATGAAAGGTACTATATAAATTATTACCACTCTTTCACTCTGAGACTCATAAGGCAGAACTACATTTAGTAATATTACCATGAATCTAGCTATTTATTTACCATATTGTATTGAAAAACATCTCTGAAACTCTGAAAAAGTCATATTGCTAGTTTACCATAAAAGGCCAAATCGACCAGTTCGTTGAGCATATTTTCAAAAAAATAATTACACCCTTGTTAAAACTTTGTTTGTGCATCAAGTTATCTAATTATGTTCAGTCAGTGCTCTGACACTAAAATATGTCAACAATGATATGGTTACCTTACAAAAGTTGAGCAAAAAGAGTGATTTCATCAGCAGTAATTTTTAGCACGCCAACTTTCTCAGTGGAAGCTAGCTGAAAGGCATTCTGTTCGAACCACAGTGACATATAGAGGTTGTTTTGTGCATAACACGTCAACCAGATGGTAGAGCTGGCTGAATCAGATGGAGTTCAACTTTTTTATTTTTTTTTCAACAAGATATCAATACACAAAATGTGCTCTACCAAATGGTGGCGCTGTCAAAGTAACAGACTGATTTTCAGACTTTAAAAACACATTTATTTCAAAACTATGAGATTTACCTGCTTACCATTCCATTTAGTCACTACCGAAACGATCATGTCAATTACTGAAACGTAACCATATGTTTCGGTAGTGACGATTCTAGCTAAAATTGAGCATAACTAAAGAATGCTAGCAAGTACATGGCTAGCAAACACGTTTTTGAAGAGGTTTACACCATATACTATATAAGGTTTACACACATAAAAACCTAATACTTTGCATAAAACCCCGAAAAAGTGTACTTAATTGAAGATAATGTGTTCGGTAGTGACAATTCTTAAGGTTGCACGCCAACCAGATTTTGGAACAGCTTCATATCAAAAGTATGGGATATAGCTACTTGCCAATCAGCCATGAGGGACAGGTATGCCGTGTCACTGCCTCGTCAAAAATGCAGGAGTGTGGCTAAAAACCAGGCCCAGCCATTGGACTAAAAACCCTTGTGTTTCGGTAGTGACATGAAAACTGGGGACAGTGATACCCACAATAAATCTAACTATTCCAACTTCTGTTTGAATGTAATCATTACGATCTTCTAAATACACCATTGAACAAAATAAAAAATAAATGTTGTAGTGTTATTTACAGAAATTGAAAATGTAGATGTCAGGGTTGGGAACAGCTACTTCCCAATATAAAGTACCCTATAAATGATGTTTTTGTATATATTAAGCTTATCTTATCTTATCTTGTGTTTAATAGACCATAACATATTCTTAGTAAATATCTATGTCTAAATATTTTTTTTCTTGTTGTGGGACTGCACTTTGTACTAATTCGGTAGAATGCCCCATATATTAGATATACAAGAACAGAATGTAAAATCAGATTAAGTTGGTGTTTTATCAAGCTACTCAGGCCTGATTTAGCCTAATTTATAATGCTTTTTTTTTTTGCAATACACTATGTCTAATCTCTATTTCAACCAGTAAACTGCATTCCACAAATACCAAACCATTGTGTGCACACAGCCTCAGTCATGTGCCCCACTTTAGGCACTAACATGTGATTTTCAATGGCTCGCTGATCCCTCGAGGTGGACTACCCATTGAGAAAAGCATTCACATTTACTACTTCTCTTTCTTTACCGTGGGCTGTGTTTAGACGTTTGGACGCTCCTCAGTAGCGCTTTATCTGTGTGTTAACTTCCTGCTGCTGCTGTCACATGACCCGCGTGTTGCAGGAAGAAGCAGGTTGGGTTGAGACAGCAGCCGACATGAAAACTTCCACAAACTGAGGACTGCTGGAGTTTGGGACAGCAGAGAAACTGGACTGAGATGCAGGGAACACAGAGTGAGTAGGGGCATGAATATAAGTTTGTATTTGTTTTCGACATTTGGCATTCAGCGTGAATTAAGGAAGTTGAAGTTTGGTAAGGGGAAGTAAACAGCTCAAGGTAAAACACGAGATGTAGCCTCTTTAGATCGGAACAGAGCTACAAAATATTAAAATGTATACAGGCTTATATTATATTCAGATCATTGACTAAAGAAAAAGAAGCATACCAATACCTAGTGTAAAACTCTACTGAGTCCTGCTTCAGTAAAAGTGAGTATAATCAGGAAAATGTACTTAAAGTAATACCAGCAAAAGTAGTACTAGATACAGAGAAAGGTGCCCCTCGCCTTTTCTGCTATACTATCAGAGGTGGAAGAACTACTCAGATCTTGTACTTAAGTAGAAGTAGAAGTACCAGAGTGTAGGAATACTCTGTTACAAGTAAAAGTCCTGCGTTCAAAATGTTACTCAAGTAAAAGTACTAAAGTACAAGCATAACAAATATACCTAAAGTAGGCTACCAAAAGTAAAAGTACTGATTATGCAGATTGTTCCAATTCAGAATAATATATATTATTTTTTTTTTGTTATAATCGTTATTTATGCATTAAAGTGTTATCAAAGCTGGTAAAGTTGCAGCTAATTTTAATCACTGTGTATACTGCAGGGTAGCTTGTGAATTTACTCCAGGTTTAGCAACATTTTAAGAGTTGATTATATATCACATCATTAAACAAAATCTACAAAGTAATTAAAGTTATTAAATAAATCTATTGGAGCAAAGGTATACGATTTACCTATGCATTGTGGTGGAGTAGAAGTACAAAGTGGCAACACATTTATATACTCTGTAAAGTACAAGTATGTATGCCATGGTTCCCTTATGCACATGTAACTGCACATTTATATTTGTTTAGTGTATTGATTCAGCTAAAGTACATGTTGTTACAACATCAGCACATGAACATGATCTAATGTGTAAGTAAAGGGATGTCACTGCAGGCTTTGTGCACAACCTTGATGATGGTTAGCAGTATTAAGGAAGTGTTGCATCACATGTGTTCTGCCTTTCTACAATAGTGAGAGGAGACCAGACACATCTGTCATGTAAACAAAGTCCAGTTCTTCACAAAGAGTTTTGAAATAGAAGTGCATCTTCCCCTGAACTGAATTGAAAATATTGTTGATGTTTAATGGCATTTGGATTATGCAGAATTATTAGATCAACATTCAATACTAGACAACTCTTTTTTATCATTTAAAAAATCCTTAGTTGATTAAATAAAAAATATGTGTCTTAAGGTGCAATCACATATCACATCAGCTAATGGAAGTGCTGTGGACTTTTATATCTGCTCTGACTGACAGCATCCTTAAGTCCCACACAGTTGGCATTTTTGCGTCTGACCTTTTTTTTTTTAAATCTGTGCTCTCACCAGAGGTTGTCACTGATAAAATATCAGCTCTTAGATACTGTTTACTTTAGGGCAATGGAGTGTGGGAAAAATGTCCCTCCAGTGGCTGATACTGTAATCCATGTATCTTTTCTTTCAATACTTTTTTTTCTTTATAGCATAATGAATGTGGAGCAGTTGCAGTAAATAGGACACCACAGCGCAGCAGGACAGATGAAGTGCTTGCTGATATCCAGTCAGAGCGCCGAGGTCCTCTTCCACTGGACCGACCCAGAGTTCTATCAGAACGTACAGGCTCAGTACGGGGCGTCCCAAGAAGATGGCCATGGGGTAAGGAGGAAGGAAATCAACCAAGACTGTTTGTTCTCATTTCAAAGTGCTTTATAGCTCTTACAATACCTCCTAACTCTTGTTGTTACCTTGCTCTGTTGTGATGGCCAGCTTCCAGCCTTTGAGGACAGCATCAGCACTCTGTTTGCTCCCATCATTATCTCCTGCATCACCATGGTGGACAGGCTGGGGGACAGCTATACCTCCTTCACCACAGAGAACAACCATATCTACGTCCTACACCAGGTAGAGCCTACCTTCCAAAATAAAAGCTGTTCTCACTCCTGCACAATTCTCAGAGTAGTTTATCCACACTTATCCATTACAAAAAGGATGCAATTAAACCTCTTTTGACCTTGTTTTTTTAAATCCTTTCACGTTGGAAGCAAATTCCTGCATTCCTTAACTTTGCTTTACTAACAGTAGCAGCACTGTGATCTAAAAGCAGGCCTCTCTTCCAGTGAAGCGTCATGTTAGTCATGTGAGTCTTGAGGAATCAAACCAGGCTTTGTCCTCCTGCAGTGCATGGTAATTACTTCAGGTTCAGTCAGTGTCAACAGGTCTTTCTAATGCAAATATGTATTCTCTAGAGAACAGTTAAAAACAACTAACTTCATTTTCTTTAAATGTACATCCATAGGGAAATGTAGTCTTAATTATGTCCTTTTGTGTCCTCTTTAGTTTGATGAGTGTCTCTACATCGCTGTGAATGGAGATGGTGAGGAGGGAGAGGGGGATCTGAGGAGGAAAATCTACGTGATGAAAAAGATGATTGAAGTCATGTTTGGAATGGTCACCCTCAGCAGTAACCTCCTCAGGAGAGAGTAAGATATTTTGTGCATACTTCTTTAATACTGGACAGACTTTAAGCATCATCTAGTTGAAATATGACTTGTGTTTGTCCCCAGACTGCGTCCTCAGGACACGGAGCAGAGAGCCAGGCTGTGGGAACACCTCCAGAGTCTGCTGGAGACCTACAGCCACCTCCGAGAGAACGACCAGAGCTTCCTAGTGGAGGTGCAGTGACACGATATACTGCAGGCCTTAAAGGAGACATTTCCCCCCGCTTTTGTTTCTTATTTGTTATAAATTTGGTATAGATTTTTACGCAAATGTTTCCCTCTACAGATTTTCCTTGCTTAACTTTCTATTAAGATCTATGTTTCCATCAACCTTACATTATTGGGGTATTGGTAAACAGCCATTTGAATGATTTTCAATTTTGCACATATAAATGTTAACCACTAGATGGCAGAAATAGCCAGAAATTCCCTTTTTTTTATTTGGTATTTATATTATTTGTGTTCTCTCTATACCAGGGGTGTCAAACTCAATTTCTTCGCGGGCCACATCAGCATTATGGTTGCACTCAAAGGGCCGGTTGTACCTTTAAGACTATATAAATAATGTAGTATATTATATGATTACCTCTGCATTGGATTATTATCGGATAGGGTATTAACTTCATAATTAACTACGTCTGAAAGAAGAAATAATTGCAAGTCTCTTCAGTGTGCATGTCACAAAACAAGATGCATTGTGGGACATGTAGTTTATCGGCAACGTGCTTCTGTAAAGTGGCATGTAGATTCAAGATTCAATGTAACCGTATAATAAACTTATTATATTCTTTGCTAGCTCTTGCGGGCCACATAAAATGAGGTTGTGGGCCGGATTTGGCCCGCGGGCCTTGAGTTTGACACCCCTGATCTAAAGTAACAGACAGAGAATCAGCACTTTGGAAACAGGGCTGAAACAGAGGGGATTATGGGTAATGCTGCAATGATCTGTTTGGTGTTTCAGCCAATCAGAGACAGGCTCTGTATATATCTGAGACCTGTGATATATTGATGATAAACAGTTTAATAGGGTACCTTTAAAACAAATGTTCCTTAAAGAGGAAATGTTTTAGTAATTGTAGGATCATATTTTGTTTTGTGCCTTGGTAGTGTTTGGGAGAACTACCAACTTTGGGATTTGAGCCTTTGTAGACCATTTACATGCACACAAACCTACATAACAAACCAAAGGAAAAGGAAACCCCCGAAACACATAATAGGGCCTCTTTAAACTTAGTAGTTGATGCAGTTTTTTTCGTTGGGTGGTCCTTCATGTCACTCCAAGTGGCATTAGAAAAAGTCTTAACTCTAACTTGTTTCAGCTGTAAGAACCGTGTGAAAGGAAGGAATACATGTCATTAAAATAAACTGACATGTATTAGATCTGTCTGGTGATAAGAAGCTCATGTTTCTGTATGAGGACCGCTTCAGGTCATCCTCTCACTCTCACTCTCTGTGCAGGAATGAGAGGCATGTTAGCATAGCAGCCACACCCTCCTCAATGCTGTCACAAACAGACGCTCCTCAACCCTCTCCGTCTCACACTTCGCTCTGCACCACGACATATTGACAGTAATAATAACTGCCTGAGAAGTAGCCTCCGTTGGTCCTGACCTCTGACTTCTGCAGGGTCATAACACAAACTTCAAGTTTCACATCGACAGACGTGTTTTATTTACGAGCGCACACCGTCAGATACCAGAGCTGTGTGTCAGCGAAGCCTTTATTCAAACACTGAGGTGCGTGATGCCTAGCACACAGAGTAGGTTCTTTAAGTTATGTCAAATGTTTTATGTTGCTTTCCCTGGCTCATGGCCAATAGTAATTATCAAATGCATTAGAGGTATTTCCAGCATTATGGAGCTGTTGAGAGATGTGTGTGATAATTGTTCAACTTCATGATGGATATACATTTAATTGCGATGCATTGGTGTTTCACACACGACCGGTTTCAGTTATGTGTCTGAATCAGAAACAAGAACACTTCCCTCGAAATTGGATTTTGTCAAACAAATATATACTTTACATAAACATGTAAACATTTGCACTTTGTACCAAAATAGATAACAAAAAATATGGAGAAATATGTATATCCAGTAGCGTTCTAATATAAAATGCTTGAACTGTATAGTGCAATAATGCCAAAGTCTGACCCACTGTTGGTCAGATTTTAGACGAGTGACTGGTTGGTTTTAAACAGCGGGTGATAATATGTTCATTTTTGTACAACATCCTCACAGAGGGGCTACAGAGAGTGAAGGTGAATTGAAGCTGCAGGGCTGCTGACCCTCCAATGGCACAGGTTAACTTCACCTGCTCAAGGTTCAAGGTTCAAGGCTTGTGTTGGTCATACGAACATAGCTACAGTAGTTATGACGATGAAAATCTTAGGTCACAGGCTCCTCCAACAGAGCAACACAATAAAACAGAAAAACAAAAACAAATTGTGCAAATAAATACAAAAAGAAAAAAAGTGAAATAGTGCAATAAGAGTCTATATACAAGTGATTGGAATATGAAGTCATTACTAAGAGCAGATTAATGTTATGGATGTTGTTTCAACAGTTCAGGTGTTTAACAGTCTTATTGCCTGCGGGATGAAACTGTCTCTGAGTCTGGTGGTTTTAGTCCGGATGCTGCGGTACCGCCTGCCAGACGGCAACAGACTGAACAGTTTGTGGCTGGGGGGTGGGGGTCTTTTATAATCCTGAGGGCTATCTTCCTGAGCTGCTGGGAGTAAAGGTCCTCCATGGATGGCAGATTCGTCCTGGTGATGTTCTGTGCAGTTTTCACCACCCTCTGTAAAGCCTAACGGCCCGTCCACACAGCAGCGTTACAAAAATCTTGAAAATCTTGGAGGTGGGCGTGTCTGAAAGCTTGGGGATTTTTTGCGAGCAACGTGCTGCTTTAAAATCCGTAAGTTCCTAAAAAGGGTGCGCTAATGTTGCTATGCGTGCTTTACAAGTGTGGAGAACTTCTCCACCTTCCAGTCGTTAGTTTACAAATAGCGGTAACTGTCATTGTTCGCATCGGTTAGTTTGGCGACGTTCGACCCTCTCTGTCGTTCGTCAAGAGAAAGATATAATGGATTGTTTTACTCTTCCTCTTTAATCAATAAGCCATCGTTTAGTGGGCCAAGAAATACTGGTCAGGATTTAATTGAATGGCCGCTATATAGTAGCTTGGCCTCCTTCGGTCCGTACCTCCTCACCGTCTTCGCACCCCCACTGACCATCCCTAAATATGCGGACCAAACCTCTATAAATATAGGTCAAACTTTTGCAAAAGCAAAGGTCTGGTTAACCCCCGCCCGTAATCCTGCATAGAAAAACGTGCGTACCTTTTACCAATAAACAGACACAGAAAGATAGTAAGATTCCCGCCTCCTGAAATCTTTGTTTTTGTCTACCCTTAACCAA